CCGGGAAAAAAAAAAAAAAAAAAAAAAAAAAATTATATGAAGATGGCTACATAGTAAACTATATTACTTCCAAAGGCTCTCAAAATTTTCCAGATATTTCTTAGAAATTTTATTATGATCTTTATTGTTTGAAGAGAACTAATTTTTTCCTTTGAAGTTCCCATTTCATGGATAAAAATGTCATATTCAGAGATGCAAAAAGCCAGAAATTATAAAGTTTTTTAATGATAGCTATGGAACTAACATAGGTCTGATTCAAAGGGTGTTATCTATGTATACACACACATATGTATGTACCCTTGCATGTACATATATATAATACATACATGTGTATGTGTATACATACGTAGTGTATGTATTTATATATATGTGATTTTTTCAAATATTTGTCTCTAATTGATAAAGCAAAAAGGAACTTTTTGTAAAATAGTGCTTTAACTTTTGGAATAACTGTTTAAAAGCATAGCAACATATAAATAAGCAACCCACTAAAATGGTTATTGTCTTCTTCCCAGCATTTTTATCTTTTGGTAGGGTGGGTTGAGTTGGTAGACAAGATTTGTGTACCACTTTAATATTTAATCTGCTTTGAGTAATGAAAAATTTAAGAACTTTGTTTAAAAAGGAAGTGTACCCTACAGTTGAACATAAGAGCCATTATGTAAGTGTACACCTAGTAAACTTTTGATTTTATTTAATTTTTAATTTAAATTTAAAATATATACTTAAATCAGTCATTACAAATTTTTATGTACATTTGAAACAACTTTGATCAAATATTTTTTCAATTGTAAATTTTTTGTAATCTAAATTATGGTCAAATATGTTCAAAAAAATGTTGGCATCCATATTGAGATACACTGTAACCATAAAAATTATATCATATTTTGAAGACCTCATATGATGATAAAAATAAAATATCACAATTATTCCTACATTGGTAATATTAAAATCATAATATTTTGAATATGTTATGAAAAGTAAATTCATTTTTAATTTTTATCTAGGGTTTTTTTTTTGCTTTTATAGTGTGGATACTAAAAGTTTTAAAACAATAAATTTGGTATTCATTTTATTTCTGTTGGAAAGTGCATATCTAGATTGTATTAAGCTACATGTTACCTACTGGAATCTTTGTTTTAATCATTTAAGGACACCTTCGCAGACTACGATAACAAGTCAGCGTTTTTCTTACATGAAAATACAGTTTGGTTTACTCATGGCTATCTGCATAATGCATGTGAATTGTTAACTTTCTAGGTAGATGAATGTCTTTTTTTCACAGCAGTGGCATGCACATAATCCAGCGCTGCACCTTCCTTATTATGAGATGACGGCTCCACTTCCAAATAATGCATCTGGGTCTTCTGCACTAAATCATGTTCCAGAGCCAGAGGCTGGACCCAGCTCTTATGGATGGACCCATCAACAGCCAAGTGACTGTGACCATTACCAGATGAATAAAAGAAAGAGACAAAGGCAAACCAGTGATAGTGACAGTAGCACAGAAAATAATAGAGGAAATGAATATAACCAAAAATTCCGAAAACACAAGAAAAAGAAAAGATATTAATATCATCAGGTGAAATATGTCTATACTGGTTTTCTCTTTAAAAAAAAAAAAGATCTGTATTTTACCAAATGACCAATTTCTTGGTTTTCTTGTCTTCTTTGAAAAATATAACACTATGATGTAACCAATGTGCTATTTAATTTTAACTTTAAATACAAAAGTTTTTTTTAAATAATTTAATGGCCTACATTTTGTACTTGTGCAATTTTTGACCAATTGTTGATATGAAGTGCACTTCATCATTTTATGTTATGCTGCTGATGAAATTTTGCTATTATTAGGTCACCTACTGAACATTATGTATTAGGCACCATGCTCGCTGTAGATTGTCACTGTAGCCTTCAACTATAAATAAGCTGGGATTAGAACTGGAGCAGTGGATTTGTTGAAAAAAACTAATGCAAACATTTAAAAGCTTCATGTTGTGCCTGATGAATGTGTAATAAGCAAGCTTTCGTTCCTTTTGTTAATAACATTTTATTTTTATGCCTAATATATTATTTCTGAGCCTTACTCTCCTTCAGGTTTTTTTTTATAGCATAAGAACATATGACAGTGACAGTGATACCAGAGGAAAAATATTATCATGGTAGTAGATTTTGTGTCATTCCCTTTTTGTATGATTTAAATAGGGATATATGCCTTTTATTTCTCATTCATTTGTATCATGAAAATTGGTCAGCTATGTTAATATTTATTATCTACCTCTTTTGCCAGCATGGCTTGAGAGGATATATTTAATGTATTTAAATCTTGGTAATGTTCAAGTAAATAGAATGAGGTTTGATTAATATGCAATACATATCAAGGGGCCCATTTTGGGCTCACTTATTTTAAAATGTAAAACAGGTTATATGTAAAATAAATGGTTCATCTGGACATTCTTGTTATTTTATAGCTCATCATATGGAATGTGAAAAGCACATATTTATTAAAATGAATTGAAAGAATTAAGCAATTCCATTGGGAGTTAACCAATGAATTCAGTAGGAAAACTGTGTTTGAAAGTCTGAGAACATATTACAGCACTTCATAAGCATTTAGTACTTAAAAGAATAAAGATATATTTCAACCCAGGTAGTAACTACACTTAACTCGTTTATACATATATAATATGGTGGAGCTTAAATGGGAATATTAGTCTATTTCCATCTAATCAATATAAAACTAGATTCTCCTCTATATAACTTTGTATTCATATACTTAAATATTCAACCTGGAAGATTTTTTTCTTTATAAATTCACATTTTTGCAGTTTGAATCATGCTGAAATGAAAGATGTGATCCTGTGTAATAAGAAAATAGCATTTCATTAAAGATATAAATTTTACCTTCACTTCAGTCTTTAATTCTATAAATATATCTTAGACAAATTATTTCATTATGATTATTATAATAAATATGTATGTTTCTTAGCAACTAAGAATGGTATATGGTTAAGAAAATTATCTTGAAAAACCATTAAATAAATTAAAATATTGGAATGGCAAAAATTCTCGTAACTGCTTATATCACAAACGGGAAGTTACATCCAGATCCACTTTAATAAGTCTGCCAACTCAAACCAAACAGAAGGTTAGGAAATTCACTTTTGTCTTTTATTTCAAAATATAAAATTGTCCTTAAATTATTACTATTTAGCATCATCCTATAATGTTGTACATTACCATTTTTCCAATGCTATACATATAAGAATCATTAAAATGTTTTTCCTGGGTGGGGTATTTTCTAATTTTAATCTCCCACTCTTAAAATCTATTTATTTATTTTTTATTTTTTATTTTTTCAGCTTTAATTGAGTTTATTGCTGCATTTTAGGGATACAGCACAGTTACATTCATTGGTGGGATCTTGTACCTCTACATGACAAGTCTTGGTTCTCATTTTTTCCCCTTACCTCTGCCCTCCCTTCACCCCCTCCTCCCCTCCCCATCTACAAACACTTTATTTTCATCTTTTCATTCTCTCACATTTTTTTCTTTTCCCTTTTTACTCTTCCCCTACTCATCCCACCTTTCCTACACCTTTAGCTCCTTTCTTCCCATTTCTAAATGTCAGTAATCTTATAAAATCTATTTATTTTTAATCACCTATGTATACATTTTATTCAAATACTAGAGAAACCTTAGAATCTTAGAACAAAATTTAAACATTTTGCATATTCTCATATTTACTAGTTTACTTTTTATACATGAGTTTCTGTGATGCACCAGGCAGTGGCCAAAAAACTGAAAAATCACCTAGAAATAAAGTTAGATCAATTTTAATTACAAGCACACTCTTGAAATCTGTTGAAATGGTTCATACACTAAGCTATGGTTTCATATGTATACTTGTTTAAACAAAGCTGTCATCTATGAAATCTCTACATTAGCATTTCATTATGACCATTCTTGTGAATTATTATAAGCAATAACTAATTCACTGTCGAATTATTATTATGAAATTCTGATTAATTTTTGCTTAAATGCTTGGAGCTTAATGAAGAAAGTTATGAATTATTATACTTTCTTCAGCATTTTTCAGTTGCAAAAATGTTTTGCACAGACATATAGTCCACCTCTCCTTGTATGGCTAATACTAATGAATTGATGGGAGAGATTAGGAAGTAAGAGCTCTCTTTTACCAGCACTCACAGTACTATCCCAAGAACTTTTCTCACTTACCTACTAAATATACCCACTTCAGTGTCTCATTATCACTGAAAATTCAACATATTCTATTTTACTTTAATTTTTTCCTATATATTTCCTTCTTTGCCAGTTTTACCCAGTGCTCCACTTACTAAGCAGTGGCTTCAAGGTTCCAGTGGCAACCTTACTTCAGTAATTTACCATGGTTTGGATATAAAATACCCACAAAACTCATATGGTTAAGGCTTGCCCCCAATGGTGGTACTATGAGGAAGTGATAGAAACTTTAGGAGGGAGGATCTAGTTGAAGAAAGGTCATTGAGGGTGTGCTCTTGAAGGGGATATTGGGACCTGACCCCTTCCTCTCTCTGCTTGTGTTTCCTGGCTGCTATGAGGTGGGTAGATTTTCCCAGCATACTTTTCTACCGTGATGGAGAAAAGTGACCATGGACTGAAACCTGAAATCATTGGCAAAATCTTTCTTGCTTTAGGTAGATTTATTTCTCATATTTTATCAGGAATGGAAAGCTGACTAACAGTGGCTTGCAGATAAGTGTTTCATTCCTGCTGTGTCCTTCAGTCAAAATGAAGCACTATTGCTGTCAGGCATGTGAAGAAAGTAAAATGAGTCCATCTCTTAGGAATATGAAAAGATAGAACTTACAGCAGTTGCTCAGCTGTATGTCCACCTAAATATTTAAGGGCTAGGCATGTTCTCTTTCTTGGTGGACTTGGTTTAGTATGGCATAGTATAAATGGCTATTTCCTGAATGATGGTTTGGCTGTTTGGTTCTCCACATCTCCTACCCCTAGAAATTCTGGAAGATTAAAGTCTCCTAGAATAGCATCATAAAAAACATAGAACACCAGTTGCAACTGCTCTGGTCAGCAGTCAGGACTCAGGTGCTTTACAGTGTCCAAAATTTGCCTCTAATTCTATTAGGTTGCCGAGTATTGAACCCAGAACCTCATACAGGCTAGGCTTGAGCTCTGCCACTGATCTACATCCACAGCATGCTCTGTTTTCTCTTTCATCTCCTGTTTCTCTCTTTCTCTGTTTTTGTCTTGTTTTGCTTTGTTTTTTGAAGTAGCATCTCCTTAAATTTCCCAGGCTTGCTTCTAACTCTCAGTATTCCTACTTTAGCCTCCTGAGTAGCTGTGATTATAGACATGCAACATTATGCCCAGCTTTTTTCTTAATTCTTTATCCTATGTCAACCAGATATAGGGGCAAAGAGGAGATAAAACTGCCCTCTTTCAATATGTTGTTTTTTAAATTCTATTTATTATTTTCATAAAGTTTATTTTTATTAGTACATGTTTTCAGTACATAATTATTACACTCATCATCGGGAGTTAGTATATGTATGTGGTACCTTAATTTTTTTTTTTTTTTTTTTGTCTCCTATTCCACCCCTTCCTCGCTGCTTCTTCCAACTCTTGGTCCTCTTCCCATTTGCAAAAGCTCTACTTTCCTCTTTTCTTCAGCTTTTTTTTTTTCTCATCCCGTTTTTCCTATCTCCTCCTTTCTCTCTATCTCTTATTCCCCATCCATTTGAAAAACAGTGCAAGTAAATGGATGTACCTTAAGACCATAATATTAAGTGAAATATGTCAGATACACAGACATAAATATGACACGATTTCCCTTTTAGGTGTAGTGATTTTTATAATCCTTTTGCTCTTAAAAAAATTAACTCTTAGTTATGTGGGTTTTAAGTAATTTTCTACTTTATTTTTATCTTCCCTAGGACAAAACTTTTGTTTTCATATCTTTAATATACAGTGAAAATATATTTTCTTTATGATTTCTAGGAGGGTTTTTTGTTTGTTTATCCTGATTTTATAAAGCTTTAAGAAAAAAATCATATCCCCTTTTAGAATTCAACCAGTTTTCTTTCTTTTGCAGTACTGGAAATTGAACCCAGGGCCATCACACTGAACTGCATCCTCAGCTTTTTTAATTCTTGTTTTCTAAAATTTGAGACAGGATCATGCTGAGTCACTAAGTTCCCTAGGATAGGGTCAAATTTGTAATTCTCCTGTCTCAGATAAATTTTAAATCATGGAGCTTTGTATTAAGATGTGAAAAGGCAACATTTTAGATTTTAACATTTTCAGCCATTTTGTTTATTTTTATGAATGCCTACTTGAAAGTTTATAATCCTCTAGGTAATCCTAGAGGATGCAGCCTTGATGAAAGAAAGGACTGCTCCAAATGACTACAAATGAGATTAAGAAACAGAAATTAAATTGAAGAGTAAAGATGGTTATGTTGTCTTATCTGAGTTTGGAGAATGAAATTCCAGCCTTCTAAATAGAATAGTATGCAAAGCAAGGGGCTTGGGATGAATTAAATTCCATTTCCACCTGAGGTGGCAAAGTAAGTTTTATGTTAGTGGTCATATTAATCTTGAATTTAGAAAAGTAAGAAGTTTTGAACATGCACAATGAGGAAATTATTTCAAAACAAGTTGAACATCTGAGGTAATAAAGTAGAAGATGCAGAACATACCAAATAATATTGAATGAATTTAAGCAACCTAAATAAGATATGGTTGAAGACATTTTGAATTTTTAAAAATAATTCAAATTTATGTCATGGGAATCTCAAGAAAATGGTGCTCTTTATCTGAAGGACATTTGCCTTCTATAATTAACAACAAAAAAAGAAAGAAAAAGAAAATCAGGTAAGTAAGCCTCTAAAGAAAGCAAATTGTCAGCTCACAAGAAGTAAGATTCCAAAAGGGGCCCAAGTACCTACTCTTGACAGAGAGCTAGGTTAAATGATGATGCATAAACACACACTTTTTCTACCCAGAAAGCTGAAACCAAAACTCAGTATTCTATGGGACAAGTGACTTCCCCAATCCATTGCAATAAATGAGGACTGAAGCTTGCCATGTGCTAAAGATCCTCAGATTCAACTCAGCATGGGCCTGAATAATGACACACAAACCCACAATTACAACAGTGGGAGAATAGCAGGCTGCCTTCATTTATCTGGTAACCAGTGAAGTCTATTATTTAACCCATCTACATGATGGTAAGAAATTTATCCTGAGTCCTGTTGTAGACAGATGGTCTAAACCACAGTGTACAGTGGGATTCCAAAGAGACCCATCTTACAGGACACTGATCTATAGGAAGCTATTCTTTATAAGACAATTATTTGGGATTTTTTCCCAACTATAGAACTCAAATTTATTTTATAGAACTCTAATATATTACATACATATATAT